GAGCTTCTTTGTTTCTTCCCAGCCCCTAAAGGACTGTTTTCCAGCCTGGCTTCTGGAAGCAGGTCTGGGTTGTACAGACAGCTTTGTGCTGGTGCTGCTGGTTGGCAGGAGAATCCCAAGCCTGGTGCAGTGAGTGCTGGACTGGGAATAAAGAAGGAGAGCTTGGGTTTGGCTTTTCCCCAGGATGAAAGAGGAGGATACCACATGGGTCTGTTGGCCACCCTGGCTGGGAACAGGGCTGAGAAAAGGCTAGTGACTGCTTGTTTGCAGGCTGAGCTGGTGCTGCCCGTGGGTGACATTGTGTCCCTCTTGCGTTTGCTTGCACAGGACACTGTGGGCAGCACCTGTCCACAGTGTGACAGGACAGTGCATTCCTCCAGTGCTGACAGTCCCTTGCTCCAGCCCCAGAGGTATTGTGCAGCACTGGCATGGAGCTGGGATGTGCCAGAGGGACCATATTCACAGCAGATAACAGGACCTGGGAGAGGACACTGTTGCCAGAGTGTGTCCTTTATTAATGTTAGCCCCACTCCTTGCCTGCTGGTGAGTGCCTTTTCATGGGGAAAGTGTTTTTCCCAGCCCAGCTGGGGCCGTTAAAAGGTTTGTTGCTTTATCAGTATTATCAGGAATTCCCCTGTGGCAGCCCAGGGCCTTTATCAGAGCAGGATGGGTGTAGAGAGAGGAGCAGGCACTGCACCAGGCACTGGGGTCTTGCTGACCCTGGTCCAGTGTTTGGGAGGGGGTGATGGCAGAGAATAGTGTGAGGGGTCCCCACCTACCAGAGAGTTTGGCTAGAGATTGCAGCCTGCAGTGCTGGGGGAGTGTGCCATGAGCAATGGCTCGGTTTAGGGATGGGCACGTTTATTTTCTCCTCCAGTAACCTGAGTATTGGCCCATGAAGGTGGTGTGGGTGGAGAAGCCATGTATGCCAGAGCTGAGACACCCATGTCAGAGTGCTGAGGTGGACTTAACAGCACAGAGAGACTGTCCAGCATGGAACCAGAGAATTAACATTCCCCAGCACCCTGCTCAGCTTGGCTTGGCTGCTTTTTAAACTTGAGTTTACGTAGTGCCCATATCCCTCTCATTTTTTTCCTCTGAGCTCAGGCTGTGCTGTTTGAGGTTGAGCAGATACAATAACTCACTTCCATGCTGTGGGTTTGTCTTTTTCCCCTTGGTTTAACACCATTTCTAATAACCCTTCTCAATAACCCACTAACATGTCTGGGAACACCTGCCCAAACTGACTTGCCCCATGCCAACCCCAGAGGCACCAGCCAGACATCGTTCAGATCTACCTTTCAGTGCAGCCAAACTCACTCTGATTTTGTTGGTATTTTTGGCTCTTCCTCCCGGTTTTTGTGTGAATCACTGCAAGTATAAGAGCTATGGATGGAAAAGAATTATTTTAGGTATCCAGAGCTGCATCCTTAGTGACACACGTGTAGGCTTAGCTCCAGATAAAGCTGTTTGTCAAGACTTCTCGTCCTGTTTCCTTATCGTAAGAGCTATTACGTGACTTCAGTCCAGGAATTTTCTGTGCTGGCCATTTATACCTGACACTGCCTCCACGCCCCATGCAGACGTCTGAGCTGGCAGCCACTCAGAACCAGGAATCAGAAAACAGGAGATTATCTCCGTGATTTTGGCGGAGCGGCAGAGTGCGAGTTCCCTCTGCTGGCACGTGGCAGGATGGGGCTGTGTCTCCCACCGGGCTGGGGGAGAGGGACTGTGGCCAGTCTCCCAGCTCAGACCCATCCCTAGGGCAGAAGAGCAGGGATCAGCTCTTTGGAAGCCCCGTGGATGAATCTTAAAGTTTTGCACACAAAATCACAGCTGAAGAGAGCTGCAGGGACGTCCTTGGGTATCAGTCCCGGTATCCCAGCGGGGCTCTGCAGCTGCAGGATTAAGTCATGGCACATCTCAGGGAGGGTGTCAGTGGCTTTGGGGAGGAGACCTTGGGTGAGGAGTCCTTGGGATACAGGGACCTGTAGCCCCTTCCTCTGGGTGTGTTGCTGGAGCTCCCTGGGAAACGCCAGGATTTCTGTTTGGCAAACTTGGCTTTTTTGCACACTTCCAGGGCTGCAGCCTCTAAAACCACAGCTTTCCCAGTTGACCTCATGTTCTGCTCACGCTGGCAAGAGTCTGCTGTGGTGTCTGCTGGATCTGCTGCAGGAGTGTAGTCAGGGGCCGAGGTGTATTTTTTCTAGCCTCAGTAAACAGCAGAACTGCCTGAAATTGCTTAAAATACTTTTCTTCCTCAAATTCCTTCTCTGGAGCTTCCTGAGATGCAAGACTCTGCTCTGAATTCTGCTTCTCCCGATACAGAGGAGTATCTGCTCTCCCAAATACGTTTTTTTTCCCCTTGTAAAACTATTCCCGTCATACTTCTGAACCTCTTGGGGAAATTCCTCATCCTTTTCCTGACACTCACTATCTTTCTTGCTGCTAAATAATGAATGAATCCAACATAAACAAGCCCTTTCTTCCAATCAAGGAAAATCACTTTAACGATAGCTCGTGCTGGTCTTTAGAGCTTTCCTTCTCACCACACACCTCCCTCCACTAACAGCCAAGATCTGCAGCCCAGGTTTAGTGGCCTGGAAAAGATTAACAGTCTGCATGGCCGAGGAATTCCTTGGGATGAGCTTTTGTAGTTGAAAAGCACTAAATGGCACCACAGCTTTTAAAATGCTTTTTCATACCTGTCCCAGCCTTGTTTTGTCCACACTGAGCTGCTGTGCAGAGGGTGCAGCTCTCTGTGACACGGTGTGGAGGGGAGGAGAGCTCTTCCCTCCCCATCCCTCCAGGATCTCTGGCAGTAACATCTCTGAATGTTGATCTAATGGGAAAAAAAAACGATTCTTTCCTGTAATCCGGATGATATTAACCCTTGGGGCTGTGATTTGGTTGCAGTGATTTATTTTTCTCTTCCCTTTTTCAATGACGAATGACTGAAATGATTTTGATTTTGTTTTGTATGTAGATGCAGATATATATAATTTCCTCTTCTGTTCATTCATTTTCCAGCCTTGTTTTCTTCCAGGTCTTGTTGCTCTCCACCTTCTCCTGCTGTGTTGCTGTGTGACGTGTCCACCTTTACTTCGCCTGCTTCGCTACCATCTCATCTCAATCTCAAGCCGTAGAACAACCTGGTGGTGCAGCCCCTTTCATGAGAAATCAACCTGCTTTTGATTTTGTTTTTATGTTTTTTGGTTGGGTTTTTGTTAGGTTTTTTTTTTCCTGATTTGTTTTTCTTCAGGCCTTCACTCAGTAGGGCACAGACAATGTTAATTCATGGACCTCTTACTCCCTCCTAAACTGAGACTCAGAGAAGGCTGTGCCAGTGTAAAAAGGGTTAAGAAATTGTGACTCCAAACCAATTCCTTGTCTGTCAGTGAATGGAGAACATGGATTTATGCTCCACAGCCTGGCTTATGTCGGACATCTCATGAGACTGGGAGCTCTGCACAAGCCTGGGGTCTGCCCACTCCCAGTCTGCAAACTGGGAGGCAGCAGAGGCAAAACAGATGTCCTGTAAAAGCATCAGAGATGTTGGAAATTTTCAAAGCAAAGTCTTCTCCAACAATTTTGTCTGTTCCATTTTGTGACCTGGCAGCCTAGCTCTGAGCAGCAGTGGGGTCCCCCCAGACCCCAGGGGATGTGATGTGCTGAGACTGTTCGTCTCTTTTATGGAATTCGATGCAAATATTGGTTGAAAAATTAACATCTCGTGGGTTTTGAGCCCTTAACCTGCTGTTCCTTTTTGTGGGAAGTGTTAAAAATGGGGTTTTTTGGATAACCTGTTTCCTCTCATGTGGTTGCCATTGTGATTTTCATGCACATTAGAGATTCACATAGAACAAGCAGCCCTGAGTTTAAATGTGGCACATATGGGTCCAAATTCTGTGTCAAGAACCCACCTGTATTGAGTTTTTTGGGGAGGTTTGAAATGGAGCTTTAAACCTTGCAGCTTGGAGCACAGCAGCTTGTGTGCTGGTGATGGGTTATTGCTTCACATTCCCAGGTTGTGATTGAAGACCTGAGGTTAATTCTTGCCCAAACCCCTGAAAATGCAAACTTAGACACCAGCAGATCCTTTGAAAATCCCTGTGCTTTCTCTCCTGTGGGTCAGCAAGCAGCTCTTCATGCTGAAACAGCACTTTTAATTCCACCTGCAAAGGCTTGTTTGCTCGTTCTTAGGAGCATCCCATTTGGGTTTGATCCAGGGTTGGCTCCTGCTCCATCCACATTTTTTCATAGTTCTCCATCCTCAGAGACACAAGTGCCATGGTGCAATGAGCCACCGAGGCAGTGTCTGAGAGCCCAGGTTGTGCTCCTTGCTGTCCACACTGGATTTGCAGCCCAGTTTAGAGGAGGGAGGAGCCCCAAGTTTTGCAGGGGATGCCTTACCATGGCACAGGGAGATCCTCATCTTCCTAATGCCCCTTCAGCTGGTGCATCCTGCCTGGTCTGGAGGCACCTATGGACACTCCTCACTCTGTGCAGTCCTGTGGCTGTTACCTGTGTGGGGCTGAGTTTTTAGAGGGTACCTATTGCAGTGAACACACTGGGGGACCCATACCCCCTGGTACCTCTGCACCCCAGCTTGGTCTGACGTGTCTCTGCTCTGTGGCCTCGGGGGCCATCGATAGCAGCAGTGCTAGAGGGTAGAGCCAAAGCTTAAGCAAAGCTGCTCTGTAGTCCCTGCTTCCCAAAGGGCTGTAAAATTCACAAGTGAAGCATTATTGCTGGGTTTGTAAGATTTTCTAGTTATTTAAGAAGATGCTCCTTGTGGAGCTGAGTAGAGTGAGGTTTTTCCCACTTTGGCTGTGGGTAAAAGGACATGTGTCAGATCGTGGGGTTTTAGCTCATATTTAGGTATGCTGGAGCTCATGGAGAAAGAACCAAGTGTGCATGAACACTGAGTCAAGCAGTTCTGCAGCCTTAAATTTATGGGGTGGTACAGCTCCGCATAGTTGCTGCTCTTGTGTTTAAACCCTCTCTGGTTTCCCCTTTCTCTCTGTTTTTCAGGAGGTCCCAGGTAATTGAAAAATTTGAGGCATTAGATATTGAGAACGCAGAGCACATGGAAACCAACGTGCCAGGAGGTGCTGCCCTTTCCAGCGAGACGCGGCAGGGCAGGAGTGAGAAGAGGGTTTTCCCACGGAAACGGGTAAGCTGCTCAGCTGAGGTCTCCTGGTGGGGTTTGGAGGATGGCACCTGGGGTCCAACAGCCCAGGACTATAGGGTTTGTCCCTGGGTGTGGATCTGGAGTCACAGGCAGCTCTTGCAGGAGCCAAACTGCTGCAGATGCTCAGCCTGTGCAGGTTTGCCAGTTGCTGCTTTGGTCCCTTGGCCCAGGTGTAGTTCAGAGTGGAAAATCAGGCTCTTTTCTCCTTTCTCCAAAATATAAAAGGAAACTTCAGCTCTGGCATGGCAGGACCCATCAGGGTGGGGTACAGTAACAGAAGAAACAGGCAGGCTTGAGAGTCCCAGATATTCTTGTATTGGGAACAAATTAATGCCTGAGAGGACAAAAAAATATATTGCCAAGGAAATGGCACTTGTTCTGAGCCTGAAATGTCCCTTAAATAAAGCAGATTTTTATGCCATGAGCCAAGAGAGCAGGACTCTGTCCTAGTTCCTGCACTGATCTGGGCTAATGCTGTTCACACAGGACTTCACTTGTGAAGGAGCAGCCATGGGCTCCATCCTGGATGTGTCTGCATCTCCTCTGTCCCCACACCGCCGGGCAAAGTCACTGGACAGAAGGTCCACGGAGTCCTCTATGACGGTGAGCCACTGGGGCCTTGTCCCCTGCCTTGGGGGAGTGCGTGAGAGGCCCTTCCCAGGCAGGTCCCATGAAAACTGGACTGTCTGCTGCTTTTCTCATAGCATGCAGGACGTGGGATATGCTCATTCGTATCTGAGCAGGTTTCAGCGACCTCAATCAGATGTGACCAAACTTGAGAGTCACAGGGACTCAGCTGGAGAAGAGCCACATTTTGCCTGTTGCAGAAATTAAATCACAGTCTTGCAAGGAGCCCTTTTGCTTAAAGCACAGCATCAGTTTGGGAAGCAGACCCTGTTTTGCTAGTTATTTTCCTCTGGAATATCCCATGTCCTTGATGCTTTGCTTGATGTGTACTACTACTACTGATGCTGTAGGTCACCTTGGAGGTGCTGGGCTCACCTCACGGGGCCAGAGCTCCTCTTTGCCCCATGTTGTCCCCTAGCAGAGGCTGCTCAGGTAATTTCCAGCTCTGCAGATGAGTCAGTCCAGTTTCTGGACTTGGACCAAACACAGGGTCACTACTGAGTCATTTACGTAGAATCACAGAATCCCAGTCTGGTTTGGGTTGGAAGGGACCTTAAAGCTCCACTTGTTCCACCCCCTGCCACGGACAGGGACACCTTCCACTAGACCAGGCTGCTTAGAGAATTTTCAGAGAGCCAACACATGTCCCAGTTTTCTAATACCACTTCCTTGATGTTTATGCAGTTGAAAGTGGGTGTGAGTGGGATGAATGCTGCGAGGAAGGGCTGAACCTGCTCTCCTGAGCTTTCCTCCCTTTGCATATTTCAAATGCTTGCCAGACCTGGAGGCAAACAATACAGAACAAACACAGAATGCTCTTCTCTCCCTCACCACCCTTCTGTAGGGACAAAATAAATACACTTGCTAATCTCTCAAATAGATTACAGAGCTACTGTAAATACAAGTTACATTTTTTGTGGATGGACAACTTTTATTCAAGGACTTATCAGAAAAATGCAGTAGCTTGGTGTTTCTGGAGCTATTCATGTAGACTTATACAGCCACAAGAGTGATTTTTAAATTCTTGGTGGGAATAAAAAGGCACGAGAAGTGCATATGAAGTGACAATGCACATTTTTTAGTGAAGGGAAGAAAACCATGGAAGTTACATTTTTTGTGGATGGACAACTTTTATTCAAGGACTTATCAGAAAAATGCAGTAGCTTGGTGTTTCTGGAGCTATTCATGTAGACTTATACAGCCACAAGAGTGATTTTTAAATTCTTGGTGGGAATAAAAAGGCACGAGAAGTGCATATGAAGTGACAATGCACATTTTTTAGTGAAGGGAAGAAAACCATGGAGGTTGAGATTAGATATTAGGAAGAAATTTATTCCTGGTGGTGAGGTGAGGCACTGGCACAGATTACCCAGAGAAGCTGTGGCTGTGCCCCATCCCTGGAAATGTTTGAGGCCAGGTTGGATGGGGCTTGGTGCGACCTAGTCTAGTGGAAGGTGTCTCTGCCCGTGACAGGGGGGTGGGAACCATATGATCTTTAAGGTCCCTTTCCAACCCTAATCATTCTAGGATTCTACAATTCAGTGATTTAATTTCCCCTGTGTTATGTGGAGTGGGGCTAGGCCCCCATCACCATGAGAGCACTCAAATGTGGGATGTGCTGTCCCACAACATAGCTTTGATTGAGTAGGCTTCCAGACCCCAGTTTCCATTGCTCCTCTTGCTGTAGCCAGTTCCAGAGGCTGCAGCTGGATTTCACACACTGCTGTCCTTTCCTCCTCCACTCTGCAGCACATGGAGCAGCTGGAGGAGCTCATCCTCGAGGGAGTGAAAGCATTTCCACCACATCCTTCCCTGCGCGCGGGCAGGGCTGGGAGGAAGGGCTGGCAGCAGTTATCCCACGCTGTCTTGGTTGCTTTTCTCAGGAATTGAACATCCCCGTGCACCCACTTTGGAGGAAAGAGCAGGTGTCATTTGGGTGTTGCAAGGCTCGGATTCCCTGTATTTCCAGCCTTGGGAACTCAACCTTGTTTTGAACCCTGCAGCCTTGCATCAATAGCATGTAGTTTTTATTTCGTAATACATAATAGAGGGACAAAACTGCCTGAAGTCTTGCTAATTCCTTGTTTCTCCTTCCTCTCTAATGCTGGCGCAGCAGTAGGAAATGGCAAGAGAAATGGTAGGAAGGGAACAGCCTGAATAAACCATGCAGCAGGTCTCTATTCCTCCTGGGAGCAAACATTTAGCCACCACACAGTGTTATTATTCAGTTTGGACTTGATGACCTTTAAAAGTCCCTTCCAACCCAAACTGTTCTATGACTCCATGAATTTAACTGTTGCTGGTCTCTTTTATTGCTGTACTGGGGGTTTATCAAGATGCTGCTGTTTCCTTCTGGGCACAGATGCTTCTTCCATCCCCTCTGATCACTCTCTCCTTCCTTCCAGCCTGACCTGCTGACCTTCAAGAAGGGCTGGTTGACAAAGCAGTATGAAGATGGGCAGGTGAGTCAGGAGGAAGCTCTGCCCTTTGTGTCAGTATTTGGTGCTGCAGTCAGTCCTGGTTTCTGGCAGGACACTCACTCCAGCATCCTGGCTGTGCTGGCTGCACATGGGGCTGCTCGTGGTGCTGACGGAGCCCTGATGTCCTTGCTGCGTAGGTCAGTATTGGGCTGTCTTGGAGTGGGAAGAGCAGGTTCTCTGTCCTGGGGAGGTCTCACAGCCCCACAGCTGGATATCATATCATGGGTTTCTAGGGAGCCAGGGCAGCTTGGATAGCAGCACTGGTTTCATGTTCCTGTTCTCTATTTATTAGTCTCATCTCCCTTGTGACCCAGTGACCTCTGTGGTGTCAGTAACGAGGCTCAGGTAGAGTCTCCTGAGCGCCAGGGAAATGCAAGGCCAAGAAATAAATAAATGAATGCCTCTGAGTTGGCACTGAGGGAAGCAGCCCGTAAAGCTTTCCTGCTGTACGTTCCCAGAGGAATGTGGGATGTGCTGCTCTATCAGACTCTTAGGGATGGGCACTGATGCTGAGGCAGCATGGATGCCATGGGTGTTTGCAAACCACTCTTTCACTGGACTTCCCTTCTTTCTGCTCAGCCCATTGAGGGGAAATGAGGACGACTCGCCCGTGGCTGTGAGTGCCATGGCCCAGGATCCACTGTGGGTACTGGGGCTGAGGGCACATCCATAGGCAGCTGAGTGGGAATCAGCTGCTGGAGCAAGTGCTTTATTGACTGAAAGCTGCCTTGGGTGAGCCTGTGCCTCACTGTGGGAGCGTTCAGGAGATGTATTTGTACAGAGCAAGTACCAGGAGTAGACTCCAACTCAATTTCTAGATGCTGCAGATAAAACATGAATATTTTACTGCCTTTTTTTTTTTTTTTAAGGCTTTAAGTGCAGTCACTAAAAGCATCATCGCTCAGTGGAGCTAATGGGGATGGCTCTGACTGCCCCCGTGGCTCCTGTGGTGTGTCACTGTCACACAGGGTTGGTGCTGCTGAGGGTGTGGCAGTGCTGGGGAGTTCAGGGTCCTGGTGGTGCAAACATCACTGTTCCTTGTGTTGTTGCCTGTTTGGGTCTCCCCTTCCCCCGGGAGGGCCTCAATGAAGCTGTGTGGTGCTGGGAGGGGAGAGGCTCCAAGCTGCCTCCCTGCAGGGCATCTCTGCCAGGTGACCTGTGATGAGCCACTGTGAGTGTGCTGTTGGGGAAGGAGCAGGTTTGTAACTGTCCCATCTTGGTTGTTTCCTAGTGGAAGAAGCACTGGTTTGTGCTGACTGACCAGAGCCTGAGATACTACCGGGATTCAGTGGCAGAGGAGGTAAGTGTCATCCTGTTGACATTCAACCCATCATTCTGCACCCAGGGGACACCAGTGCTCCCAAACTGGCCCCTGGCAGTTTCTCTTCCCTGATGCCAAGGTCCTGGAGCATCGTTCTTCAGGGTTTTGTGCTTCTCAGTGAGCCCACTGTGCTTTGGGGCTGCAAATCATTGCGGCTTATTTTACCTCTTCCTTCTGCAGGCAGCTGATCTGGATGGAGAGATCGATTTATCCACGTGCTACGATGTCACTGAGTACCCAGTTCAGCGGAACTATGGCTTCCAGATCCACGTAAGGAAAATGTGGAGAGGAGGAAGAGTTCGGCTGCAGGACAGCTCATCTGGGGCAAGGGAAACATCGCCAGAAACACCCAAGAGAGGCCACCCAGCACCTCTCACAGTGCTCCAGAGAGCTGTGGCCTTGGGTTTGAGAGCCAGTGTTTTGGCTGGGGGAAATGGAAGATTTTGTAATAGCCTTAGGGTCTCAGCTATGACAAAATTAGCTTTATTGCTGAGAAATGCCAGTTCCCATCAGGAGCATGCTGGGGGGTGGAGGGTCTCACTGAGCGGCCAGCGAGCAATGCCCCAGCGCTGGATGCTCAGGGCTGGATGCGGGGTGGTTCTGGGGGGGTGGGACGGTGCTGGTGGGTGCAGTCGTCTGCTCTGAGCTGTTCCTTGTCTCTCCCTAGACAAAGGAAGGGGAGTTCACCCTCTCTGCCATGACGTCGGGCATTCGTCGCAACTGGATCCAGACTATCATGAAGCACGTTCGCCCCACCACTGCTCCCGATGTAACAAGGTAAGGAGAGGAGTGTAGCAGCCCTGCAGTTGTGTGGTTTGCCATGCAGGAGTAACTCTTCCCTTATCCCTATTCTTTTCTCTTTCTGAGCCTGTCTGTTCCTGGAAGCTGCTGCTCTTTCTCACTCTCTCTCTCTCTCTCTGGGCTTAATTTGGATACGCTTTGTGGGGACGCTGATATGCTGAGTTATTCTTACACATGCAGATTTTAAAGAGGGTTGAAAATGTGGCTTTAATTTGTGCATAGGAATATGAAACACTGTTCCTATATCAAGGCTCCTCTGGATTCCCACCAGGTATTGTGAAACCACTTGGATTCAGTTGTGCTGGGTTCCCCCTTTCCTCTGGCTACTGTTCAGCACGAACTGCCCAGCCCCTCCACGGGTCACGGCAGCATGAGCCCAGGGTTCAATTTAGAAGCTGTTTGGCTCTGATCTATTTTAAACTCCAGCCAGCAAATCATCTTCCCTCCTCTTTTGATCTTCCAGATAGCGGCTGCAGCTCATTCCCCTTAACACATTAGTAATGCTGGCGTCTTCTCCCACGTCAGTGCCAGAGGAAGGGACCCCTGCGTCACAGAGTACCTTCTGTGGGCGCTTGTGGCTGTGGGTACAGGGTGTTTGGCCTCCTCACAGTTGGCCCTGCTGGCCACACTCCTACAGGCCACCTCTTACAGGCTGCGTGGACATGGCCACACCACTAACTCTGTCTCCTGTCCTTACCATAGCTGCAGCGAGCAGGTTTTTGCCAGGTTTGCCCCCATGTTGATGGAATGGCTCTTCTCACCCAGTGCTGTTGACCTGGGGATGCTCCAGCCGCTCCTTCCTCATCCTGCTTGGCACTCAGCCACTGTTTCCCAGCCCTGCCCGAGCTCTGGTGGATCTCGCGGGGGTCTCGGGGAAACCGCCTCTCTCCTCACTCCTGTGTATGTTTGATTTCCATGCAATCCCAGGAAAAACTTCTCTTTGAAACTATCCGTGCTGAAGCCCAGGTTGGAAAACTGTGTTCTCTCCTGTATTAACGTTCTGTGGTTTGTATATCTCGTGATTCACTGCATGCTCCTCCTTTTCTGCACCTCGGATGGGAAGTCCTGCAGTTTCCATTTATTTTTCTTTCTTTTCTTCCCCTTTTCCTTTTTTTTTTTTTCCTTTTAAATAAAAGCCAGAGAAGGGAAGAAGCAACCTGGTCTTGACACTTGATTTCCCCACACTGGTATCTTCCGATGTGACTAGATATGAAGATGAAGACCAAGGAAATTTGAGGGGACTTCTCTGCCTTTAAAGAACCAGATGTATTTATGGTTGCTAACAGGTTACTGCAGCACGATAGTCCTGTGCTCACTGTCTGCACCTGCTCCAAGCCCACGCGAAGTGGTTTCACTTGGCTTTCCCTCTGAGAGGGTCCAAGGGCAGGTCCCGGTTGGGCAGTAACTTGTTACGCTGCACAAATAGACCATGAATCAATCCTGAGCTGGGAAAAGGGAATTATGTGTGTGCTTCTGTCGTTTTCCACCAGGCTGGTTTTGGATGGGGTAGAGGCTGGTGTGGGTTAGTCACGTTGCTGAGAAGTCCTGCGCTGTGTGTGGAGCAGGGCTGTGTTCACCTGGCATGGGGTGTCCCAGCCCATCCCGCCTGGCTTTGGGATGCCGTTACGTTCCGCACCTGGGGAGTGGCTTGTGAAGGGGACTGCTGGAAGGCCGAAGGACAGACTGCCAAAGGGTCATGATGGAGGGGTGGCAGTGTCTGCACCGTGTGGACAGGGTGTGAGATGTTAGTCTGGATGCTCGGTGTGCCAGGAGGTGTTCACCCCATCCCTGGGGCTGGTCCCACTCCACACACTCCTGCAGCCTGTGCCGTGTCTTGCGAACCTGCTGCCACGTCTGCACCGAGCCAAACACACCTTCTCTTGGTTTATCAGTTCCTAATGACTGTTTATATTGCTGCATGTGTCAGCACCCAACATGGGGAGCAGATGCTGCACTGCTGCCTGCCCTCAGCAGTGCCCTGCAGTCTGCAGAGACACTAATTACACTCTGCTAACGATGAAGGGCCAAATAGAAAATACCCCCAAGAAAGAAAGTGGCTGCTTCAGTGCTGGATCTGTGTTCAGCTCCCAGCCCTGATGAGGTTGAGGTCCCTAGCGCTCCCCCAGTTCTCCTCAGCCTTTGTGTGCTTGCCCCACAGCGTGCTCAGCTCACAGCTTGCACCACTCCCACATCCACCCCTATTAAAAAAAGAACTTCTTATTTTGACCTGCAAATACCATTGGGAGGCTAAGATCCCCCTCCCATGTGAGGTGAATTAATTTGTCTGGGATGGAGGAGATGTGAAATGCTTGAGCAGAATTAATAGCCATGGGGCACTTAGAGGAGATGAAATGAGAAACTTTGGGTCAGTCTTCTGAGTCTCTTCACTCCATTCCCAGCGGCCATCCCTCCACTCCCTGACACACATCCCATGCCCTTTGGAAAGCAGCAGAGGAGAAATGAGCTTGTGAGAGATTTCACCTCTAGAAATGCGGAGATTCTTCCATGTGGGATTTAGAGCATCATAATTTCTGACTCTTGACACCATTCAAGGGGCCCCAGCACCCCCTGTTTTTCCTAACGCTCTTTTCCATTTTAAGGCTCAATCTCATCCCTGCTCTACTTCTTTAAAATGCAGCTTGTAATCACTGACTCCAAATTGAGAGCCTGGCTTTGGAGTCGTGTGGTATTGTGTCTGAGGAGCAGCAGTGTTTCATCATGGTGCCTTTTAGGTTTATTTTATTAGCTGCAAGTGACAGTGTTGAAGAAGGAATTATCTCTGAGCTGGTTTTAGCCTGTAACTGCCAGAGTTTCATGAAACCCAGCTCTACTGAGCCTGTGGTTTGATGGAGGGTGACAGTGCATCGGAAGATACTAGCCCTGGCCTGATGCAGAGCCATCTCTTCTGCTCCATCCTTTGTTTTGGGCGTATGCACATCCATGAGGTTGTTGGCTGTGGGAGCTGGGCTGTGTTCCCAAGGTGGGAGAAGCTCTGCTGCTGTTGCTGCTGCTGCTGCTCCCAGTCATGGTGGCCTCGATGCATGTGGTCCCATGGGTCAGAGCCTGCAGTGAAGGGCCCAGGGAGCTGCTTTCCAGCTCTTCTAGAAAGCGTGTTGAGCTGGAGGCTGGAGCTCAGGGGATGCTGTGGTTGTACTGGAAGTAGGAAGAGTCAGGAGTCAGCCTGAGCAGTGGGGCTGTGCCTCAGGAGGCATCTCAGGGGCTTGAGAGAGCAAAGAAGGTTTAGCAAGTGCCCACCACTCCCTTGGGATAGGCTTCCTCCACAAACTTAGCATACTGCTACTTTCTGTTTTAGTTTTGATGTGCATGTAACAAGGCTGGCATGTCTACATTTAATAAGCTAATACTGCATCATGGATTATCCATAGGTTGGAAATGGTATTACCTTCCCGTATTAACTTTCCCTGCTTGACTATGTCTCCCCCCTCAACCCACCACCCTCTAACTCAGCACTAAAAATCATTCCTTGCTTGAGCAATCGGCATTTTCAGTGATTTCCACGTTGTGTTGAATAACTCTTGCTCTCCTTGCTGCACCAGTTCCTGCACACACAGGATGCAGCCTGGTGCCAGGGTGGCTGCCCACGACTGTGGGTGCCCCAGGGGAGGTCTGTGCCTGCCATGCACATAGGGGCACAGAGAAGTTTTGGACCCAATAATACTTTGCCAAGCTCAAGGGAAACCTCCCCCTTGTTTCCCAAGACCTCTGGGAGCTGCTTTGTGCTTCTCCACCCTGCAGCTCCAAAGCTAGCCTGACTTTGGTGGGATTGGTGGCATCCTCCCCGCAAGCACGTGACTATGGCTGCGTCGACTGGTGGGTGTGCATGGAGCCCCAGAGCTGGGGCACTGGAGGAGCTATCTGAGCCTCTTCCTCACC